CTCTAAAACAAATACTTTGGGAAGCACAATATTGTAGTATTGAAACTTCTTGGCCCAACAGTGGTAGAATTCTTACGTTGATTGACTAGGAACTCACTCTTTTAACCAGGCTGGCCTTGAACTCACAGAGACCAGCCTGCCTCTGCCTTTCAAGTGCTGGGATTTAAGGTGTGTCCACTATCACCTGGTATCTGGAGACATTTTTGATTGACTCCCACTGGGGGAAAATCCTTCTGGCATCTCTTACAGGGCATATATGCAGCTGATCACATGGGATAGCCCCACACTCCCTTTCAGTACAAAGCTGCCATGACATTGCCATGAGAAATCACCATAAATTCAATGGTTTATAGCAATGCAGATTTGTTTCTTATATTAATTTGGCGAGAGTCCACATGGAGCTCAGAGGGCTAAATCCAGGATATCACTAGGCAGCCTTCATTTGGAGATCTAGAAGAGAATCACTCGTTTGGTCTTCCCAGCTTCAGTAAGTTGCCAAATTCCTTGGCTTATGGTCCTTTGTCATATATCCAAAGCCAGAGGCAGTGGGTCAAAGTCCCTCTTGCATTTTGAAACCTCGCTGTCTCTCCCAGCTTTGTACCTCTTTCATCTGCACTCCTCAGGGCCCTAGGATGTCACTGATCACCCAGGTCCTGCAAGAATATCTCAGGGTCAGCTGCTTTGCAATCCTAATTCCATCTGTGAACCTGAATTAACTTTGACCATGTAGTGTGGCATATCTATAGGTCCCGGGAGTTTTGGCACAGGTATCAATCACAGTCTGTAGAGTTGTCATTGAGCCTACTGCCACCCCACAACTCCCACCAACCAGCGACAAGGCTGATGGTGCTGAGGTTGAGAAAGCTTGTCCCAGAGGAAACTTGCTAGTTCTAGAAGGCAGCACTCCCTTCCATGTGGATAAAAGAGAAAGATGAGCCACCCTTAAAGGGACTCACTTGGAGCACTAATACCCCAGCACAGTTAATCAGTTGGACAATTTGCTGCTGCTGGGAGAGGCTGCAGGCCCACTACGGGTCATGTGACACGGATCTGCGTACTGAGGGGGTGAAAGCCTGCTACTAAATAAATGAAGCCGTAGCTTCTGTTAACAGATCTATGAAACGGAATATTCATCTTCTCTTCCGTGGGAATCACGCTTGACAAAGGTGAGGCTTTCTTCACGTTGTTTGTTTATAGAAAATGCAGCTCCGCCGAGGCCTGATGCTAAACTTGCTTCTCTGATGTTAGCTGTTCCAGGACGCACGGGGCCCGCTGGAGTGTGTTCTTATGATCTTGCCATTTATTTACCTTGATATGAAACTCCAATTACTGTCAGTTCTGCTGCCTGTTAAATACGGCCAGAGTGCCAGCTTCCGAGAGTGCGGATCTGTGTCTGGTTCTCTGGGGCTGGGCTCTGCTGGAACTCGAGGAATATGAGTTGTGGGAATGCGGGTGTAAATTAATTAAATACTGAAGGAAACAGTGGGGGGGGCGTTGAGTTCTTGGGCAAGGCTCTGATTTAGGCAGAGGTGATCCAGCAGGAGGCTGTGAAGTTGTTTTTTTTTTTTTCTTCCTGTGGTTTTTCCTGATTTCAAGCGGCAACTGGACACATTCGCATGCATGTGTTTGTGTGTGCACACGTGTCTAGCGCTTGCTCCCTCAATGGCACTGGGCTTTGGGGTTGCTTTTTTGTATCTTTCAACGCTTAAATCAACTCTCGGGTTATCGGAAGTCGGGAATCAGAACAGAACACGTTACTTCCAATGACACTGCAGGAACGGGTCTCCAAATGACATGTTGGAATTCTCCAGATATATTCTGACTGTCAGATTTAGTTATTGGTTCTCTTAGGGCCATCCAACTCTATTTCATTCATGGGCTATTCTAAAAATACAATCAAAGGACACCTACTGGCTACAAGTGCCTTTGGTCGTGTCTAATAGTGCTGCGAATAATGGTTTGAATTTAGTGCAGATGCAGGGAGGTATGTGCTGTCGTCGAGAGCGTATCACACTTCCAACTTCTAACATCCCCTGCCTGGAGTCCAGCCAGCGCAGGCATGAGGTGGGGATGGGGGGACCGGACTGGGTCAGGTGCAAGGAAGGGTGGCGCTGACCTGCAGCAGAGTGTGAACTGAACAGAATGTGACGCCATTACTTTTGGCTGAAGAAGAAGAAAGTGTTTTGCTTGCTTCCTGGTTTTTGTGTTCCTGCGTTTCATCACAGACCGCGCAGAGACCTGCTCTGGGGAAGCGTGGAAGGTCTGTGGTTCTGGGTGAGAAAAAGAAGTGACTACATCTTTGTTGTTCTCATAGTGGGGAATTTTCTGGGGAAACATTTCCACTCAAGCGGAGAAACCTCCGTTCGCGGGCCTGGGGGAATGATCCCTTCCAAGGTATGAAGTGCGCGCCTGCAGCAGCTAAACTGCGCCTCATAACCCAGAGCTCAGACATGACTGGATTTGGATAGCCCGTTAAGTGCTTCCGGTGCGTTCCGGGATGGGCTCTGTAGGCTGTGCTGTCGCTCTTTGCTGGGGAGGAGACAAGAGCAATGCGTCTTTAGGGACGGAGGCAATATCTTCTCTGCTTTATCCGAAAAACAATCTCCTGAGTGGCAGTAATTAGCACAGACGTCTGTAATACATAAAAATTCCAAAGACAGCTCAAGACTCCATGGAGAAATGACAGAAAAGACTTTATAGCGGAAAGTAAATGAAACAATATAAAACCCTGAACAAAGAAGATGCAA